ATTCTCAGAGGCCAGGAAAGCACCAGTACTAACAACTTCGAATAGCAGCATTAAGCTGCTGGGTTTACTCTCCCTGTACATGTCTAGCCAACTCTTTTATCATTTTAAACTGGGTTGTTAGTCAAATATCTGTTAAAGAGGCTTTTTTAAAAACATATTTTAGAGCTAAGTCATTTATATTGACATATATTTTCCAAATATTTTCTTCCAGTCTGTATATAGCTTCCAGTCTGTGGCTTGTCCTTTTATCTTCCTACTGGTGTCTCCTAGAAGGAGTTCAAGCAGGATAGTAATATGACCAGATTTGCTTGTATCCAAAATAGCTATGCAGAGAATGGATTGCAGGGGCCAGGAGTGGGCTGGGGAGTCTGGGTAGAGATCACTGCAAGAGTTGGAATGACAGCTGATAACAGGTCAGACTGGAGGTGACAATGGATGGAGAGACATGGATGCAAATAAAGAGCTTTCAGAAAGCCATAGTGACGGGGATGGACACACCTTAGGATTTCTAACAGAAGGAGGTAGAGTTAAGCTCCAGAAGGTACCAGAACGCAGTATTATTGTTTACAGAGTACAACTTCTATACATTTGTGGGATTTTAGTGCCCAATAATTTGGAAATGAGAACCCAGATGAACTTCAGAGTCCCTTCTACTTTTCACAGTCTATGGGGCCATGGGCAAGTTTGCTGAAGCTGTGTTCATAATGCTCAACAATTTTGATACACACGCCAAGGGGTATCATTATATGTTGTTTATTAGTCACACATCTGTAATGCTGAGTTTGGGTCTCAGAAAATAATTTCATGACTGAAATTGACACAATCCACAGGTGGCGAACTCTGTAAAAGGAAGGGCAGAGGCACTCTCAGCACAGGAAACATGAGGACAAGGACAAGGAAATTCATATTCATATCTTAACCCAATTACCACACGTACCTTGCAAATGCGCGGCACTATTGGTTTAAAATGGGATTTCACATCATTCTGTCCCAAATGACACAGACAGTATTATAAATGAAAAATTCTTTCCCCAGGCAAAGATGCAGCACTCCTCTCATTTGGGCAGCAAGTGTTATCACAGGAGAACCTTTATTTAAGGCTGGAAATTCTATTTACCCAGGAGCCCAAGCCACTGTTTTTCAGTTCTTACAAAATAAACAAAACACCCTGGCAAACTAGATGCAAAAAAGACCTAAGGGAATGGGAAGGAATGTGAAATCAGGTGTACAGGTCAGTGTCAGCGCAGTACATCAACAGCACAGCAGCAAGATGTATTTTCTCTTCTGCTAAAAACAGGAGGCTATGTAAATCAAGGAGACAAAGGGAGAGCATGGAACTTCATATACATACATATGCATTTATATATGAAGGTGTTATACGTAAGTATATTATATAGCTAATAAGGTGGCGTTCGTGGTGGTGTATTTTAGAAAGAACAAGATATGAACTCAGAAATGGCTGTTTTACCTGGTGGAAGCCCTGTGATACAGACATGGGTCAGGGACAAAAGCATTGTCGCCTATAAGCCAGCTGGGCCTACTGCTGCCCTGAGTCTATGCTAGGACAGGGAGATGGTGGCATTCAGGGGCACCTGCTCCCAGAGGCAGTCCATAAGGAAGGACACATTGTGAGGGAGACAATAAAGAGCCTACTTCTTCTTGGTGCCCATTTTGTACTCGCCTGCCTCAAGGCCTTCGTACATGCTGTGACTCCTCCTGGAAACTAGATGCCTCCCCCTGTCCTCGAGTCTTGGGGACCCATCCTTCAGGCCTTAAGGCTACCATCACTTCTCTACAGTCCGCACTCACCAGGCAAGCCCATTTTATTGAGACCAAACTTTGTTCACTCTCCAAGGCCTTTTTTCAGAAAAAAAAGAATAAAATTATAAATTTAGAATTGGATAAAATAGATGCCCTTATAATTAGGGTCCTTTGGGGTGCTAGAAAGCAAGGGACTGAAGCTTAGGCTTCCTCAGCTTTGTGTGAACCTGCAGACTCTAGCTGGGCAGTGTAACTGTGTGTTCGCCTTCAGGGTCCTCTTCAGCTCGCAGTCACACGTGTTGTGTGATGATGTGATTTCTCCCCACCCCACGGGGCCATAAACTTCTTGAAGGTAGAGTCTGTCTGCTTACCAGCCTACCTGTGACAGAGAGGTCCTCAATATATGTGATTCAAATAAATGAATCTTAAAGTTGGAATAATAAAACTATTCACTCCCTTTCTTTGAGGCTTCATACACCAGGCCCTGGATGTCCATTCCTAGGATCCAAGGCATATTGCAATCCTCAGCTCTAAAAATGTGAGAGAGGAGGACAGTGTGGGTACTTGGGAATAAAGTGAGATGAAAGCTGGGGTGCCTGGGACTCAGGGGTGTGGCTTCTAATTCCTACTGTCCACAGCACCACATCTGCCAGAATAAACATGCTTCCATGAGGCCTCCCCATATCAGACTTGTACCAAAGAAGCCTAATCTAAGGCTGTTGCTTCCTGATTCCCCCTCCTTGTATACCAAGAGCCCCTGCTCATACATCCCTGAAAGTCACATCCTTAAGCTAATGGGTTTCAACCCGGTGATCATCTAGCACCCTGGGAGAGAACTTGACCACATGTGGGGCATTTCTGTGGTCACAAATAGGGAGGTTTTGTTAGCATCTCTAGGATACAGGTTAAATATCCTAGGGTCACAAGACCTCATAGCAAGTGTCTTAGTTACTCTTCTCTCCTTGCTGGGACAAATACCTGACACTCAAAATGAAGGAAGGAAAAGTTTATTTAGCTCATCTGGGTCCAATGCAGAGCAGCACATGGCAGAGGGCAACCTTTGCTGGAGGAGGCAAAGAGCAAGAGCACAAGGGAGTGGTAGCAGCAGCTCAAGCAGCTAGCTTCTCTTCCCACCTTACATTGTAAAGCAAATTACCTGCCCCAGGGCAGGCAGCATCCACACCCACAGTGATCGATCACAAACTCCAGAGGCTGCCCCAAGACTGCATGAGGCTTTGGGGGGACACCTAGACACAAACCTTAACAGCAAGGAATTATGTAGCCCAGGCTGTTAGTGTTGCTGAGGATGAGAAAGCCTGCCTTGAACCCTAAGGCTCCTTTTCCTTTTCTGGACACTACCACTGATGGCAGGGCTTTCCTCACTTCTCTACCTTCTCTACTGCACACTACAGAGGGGGTGGTGTTGCTCAGGGGATAAGAGGGAAGATGCCAGCCTGTCATGGAATTCCAATTGAATGCTCAATTCATTAAATATAAAATAGCTGTTAGAATGGTACTGTTCTAGGCCAATGATCCTTACTAGAAAGATGCTTCTGAGTCAGCTGGGTCTGTAGTGGGGCTGGAATTCTCTAACCAAGTCCCACGGGTGCAACCACTGCTGGCCTGCAGGTGCACTTTAGCAAACAAAACAAAGAGCTACCCTTGGGGAGCTTCCAACCTGACTAGCAGTGTTCTGGACCCAAAGAAAGCTGCACAGGCTTAAGTCAGAAGCTATGAGTTTTGAAAAAGCAGATCTGGGAGAGAATTTAATTAAACCCCTCATTCTTGAGGTAAAGAAACTGAGGCTCACAGTGGGAAGGGAGTGAGCCGAAGTGACACTACTTGCTGCACAGCTTTTGGACAAGGCTGCTTGATTTTGTGTCCCTGAGTTATAGGGGTCCTTAGGGACGTTTGAAGAACAGAGCCCAAGTAGAGAGGAAAGTCTGGGTCCCCAAGAGAGTCCCACTGTCCTGGATTTCCCACTTCTCTATTATCTCCTAACACATACAGCAACACGGGTGTTTTGGGAGCGGCACTAGACTATTCTTCCCTGAACTTTGTGGCACCACTGAGCTTGTGGCCAAGATGAGCCAGGTAGAACCACAAAGATGTGAATTCCAGGTGCAGTCTGTCAACAGCACAGGCCAACCACCAACAGAGCGAGCACAAACAGCTTTTTCATAATCCGAGGGTGGAACGACAAGTCCTGGACACGCCTAAGGGCTCAGTTCTCATCTTTCAGCACTTGCCAGATCAATGCCTTAGAACCTAATCCCTAGGTGTGGATCAGAAAATCATCTGTGTGGTGCTGAGGACCAATTGCTTCCTCCACTCTGACACGTGGGCCACAGACCTAAATTCGTGTCTATGCCACTGGAACAGCAACAACTGTCATGGAGTAGCGAATGAGGAGCAACAGCTGGCACGTCAGGCATTAATAATATAACAAAGGAAGGAAAAAAAGAGGCTTTTCATTAGTGCATTTTGATGTCAATTTATTATTTATCCCTTAGCCAATATTCCAACAGGCAGGCAGTCATAAAACATTCAAAAAGATTCTCTAAAATAGGCATCTGTCTTACCTCAGTTTCTTTTTAGAAACTTAAAAATCAGGAGACTTGGTGTTTAGAGTATAGCAATGTTAAAAATACTTGTATCAAAAATATTGTTTGAAATACACTATTTAGAGTTTAGTTTGAATTTCCTGAAGGGCCGGGAGGCAGGCAGACAATGGTTTGCAAGGGAAGATGTGATGTAAGGGTAGTTTCCAAATACTTTATTCCTCAGCATTCCTCAGTTTGAAACAAGGACTCTGACAAGGCCTGCTGTTCAGTAATTAGCATCCTGTCAAATCCTGCCAATCAGGACCAGCAGGCCACACCTGGCCCCGGTTAAAAAATGCATGTGGGCAATTCTGATCTGACCCCCGGGGGTTCTGGCCAGCTCGGAATGGCATTCAGTCTGCATGCTATAATTACCACTGACACCAAAATGAGGAGGCTGCATTAGCCAGCGGCTCTGAGCAAAGCTGCCTGCTCTTGACGATCTGCCATGTCACTGTAGCTTTTTTGATAAGCATCATTCCTGGCCATGTAGACAGAATGGGTCTCTTTCTGTCTACAGAAAGTCTCGGGTAGAAGACTCATCAGAGGTAACATCATCGTACGAATAAAACAAAGGAAAAAAAAAAAAAACCAACACACACACACACACACACACACACACACACACACACACACACCCCAGAGTAACAGAAAATAAAGTGAAACAGAAACCTCTGTAGGAGGAGCTGGGTGGCAAGAGTGGCTGGCCGCTGGTCTGTCTAGCTTGTCTTTCCTTTATTCTTCTGGGTACTTCTGGCTTTCTGGGAACTGTCCGTCATGTACAGGCCATGGTCCTTGATATAGGCAATGACAGCATCAGGAAGCAGGTACTTCACGCTCTGTCCTTGGGCCAGCGCTCGCCTGACGTACGTGGCACTGATCTCATTTAGCACCGGCTCCCTGGCCAGGTGGATGTTGTGCTGGTATTTGCACAGGATGGGTGAACCCAAGATGTACCCCTTGGGGTCATGCCCCGCCCTGTTCACACACACTAAGCCAAACTTCTCCACTATCTCCTGGATGTGTGAGTCTTTCCAGAGGTTGGGGGTCTGGAAGGTCTTCAGGACGTCCGCCCCACAGAGGAGTTTCAGCTCAGGTGCAGCTGCAAAAACAAGGGTGGATCTCAGCATAGTCACGGGCGGGTCACTGCCAGGAAAGGTACTAAGTTGCTTTGTTGGAAAAGCTCACAACATGTTTCTCTTGGAGTGTACTGAGAGCTCAGTGTTTCCATGTTCATGACCTAAAAAATGTGTGAAGCTATTTCAAGATATACACTTACAAGTAATGATTTCATGAATACATCTTTTGTTTAATACTGGCAGAGTGCCAATGGATAGTTTTTTTCTTAACCTGTCCTTAACTGCTCTGGACGATGGCAAACAGCTGTTCCCAGAAGTCCACATTGTCATGGAAGCTAAGGTTTTCAAAGCTTAAAGATTAGCAAGCTGTGGGCATTAGACAAGTCACTGACCTACTTGAAATCCACTTCAGCCCTACAGTTATTAAGACCTGGGGCCTGGCACTTCCATATGAAATCTCAATCTAAAGCATTTTTTTAAATGTATTTGGTACAGAGTATCACTATGCAGCTCTGACTCATAATGATCTTCCTGTTCTCAGCCTCCCCTGCGCTGAGATTCCAGGTGTGCGCTACCACACCCAGTCTCAGAGTGCGCAGGGGCGGGGCTGGCACTGCATGTGGTGCCGGGGATCGAACCCCAGTTCCTGCACTCGCCTAAGCAGGCAGTCCACTGAGCTATCTTGCTGGCCCTAAAGATTAATTTTAAAGACTCTTTGGATAACCAAAATGCCTCTGTGACTCCAGTTGGTAGCCTTCTTATTTGTTTCCAATACAACAAAGCTCTAGGACAAGTGATCAATGTGGATAATCCTCTGGAATTTGTTCTAGCAAAATGCTGATTGTGGGTTGGGGAGATATTTCAGCAATATAAGAGCCTGTCTGGAAGGCACAAGGACCCAGGTTTAATCTGTGGTACTCTGTGCTCTGCTGGGCCTGAAACTCTGGGAATACCAGGCCAGCCCGAAGCCGGGTGTGGTGGCATACACCTGTAATCCCAGCACTGGGGAGGCTGAGACAGAAGGATCATGAGTCTAAACTGTGTAGTGAGATTCTGTAGCAAATAAATAAATAAAAATTAAAAAATTAAATGCTGATTGTGATGATAAAGTATCACCTAACATTTATGAAGTGCTTAATATCACACCATTATTGATCACTTATAGTATGATCTTCAGAAAAATTTCATGCAGTAGGTATTACTACACTAGTTTTGCAGAAGGGGAAACTGAGGCAGGGAAGGAAATGTGATTTGTCTGAGGTTCTCAGCTAGTCACAGAAGTCAGGATTTGAACCCAAGCAGCCAGTTTCCAGGTGGGCATCTGTAACTGGTAGCTCCGCCATTGAGGTGGGAATCTACCTTTGAAGGCTAGAAACCAGGCAGATTTTCCTAGCACTGCTTAAGTTTTTGGGTGGGATAATCTAAAAAGAAAAAACCATGTTTATATTAGCATCTTGTTGCGATATCCGGGGTCTTTCCACAGTCTCATTCCAGTTTCCACGGAGGCTTTAGCAAAGGCCCTCCTAGAGGGCTAGCATCTGTTACCATGAAGCCACACACGGGAGGAAACCTTGCATAATTCCTCAATTTGCTCCCCTGATGGTGGGCCTCTGAAAGAATCTGGATGTATGCAGAGACAGGTTGACAGAAGAGCTCTAGGTTGGCTGTGGTACGGAAGGTGAGAGAGGGGTGGCACCTTGGGGGAAGCCTGATGTCTCGCTTCCGCTGGACACAGGCTGCTGCAGGGCTATAGCCAAGACCTTTCCATTTATGGGCTCAGGCGCTAGATTCATTCAAAGCAACCAGTGTAATTATGGAAACACACTTTTAAAACCCTGTAGCAGCATAACATTGGCTTAAGAAGTAATATTCAAATATCCCTTCTTTCATGTATATATGAATTCTTAGTGGTTACTTTGGAGTCAGATACCTTAGGTTCAAATTCTGGTCCTGCAATGCAGTAGTTTATGTGATCTCAATTTTAAAATGAAGATGTCAATAGTATAAGGTATAGGGTCACTTTTTTTTCTGTTTTTTTTTTTTTTTTTTTTTTTTTTTTTTTTTT